TACAGTTACTGGCGAACTTGCGTAATTAATCGATAAATAAAAAATAAATCAATATAATAAGGAAAGAAGACCGACGACCACAGTGAGAGTCGAACTCACGACCTTCTGATCCGAAGTCAGACGCGCTAATCCACTGCGCTATGCAGTCATTTGTTCGTCGTCCCTTGACTTGCAGACAGTGCTGCTACAGTTACTGGCGAACTTGCGTAATTAATCGATAAATAAAAAATAAATCAATATAATAAGGAAAGAAGACCGAAGACCACAATGGGAGTCAAACCCACGACCTTCTGATCCGAAGTCAGACGCGCTAATCCACTGCGCTATACGGTCATTTGTTCATCGTCCCTTGACTTGCAGACAGTGCTGCTACAGTTACTGGCGAACTTGCGTAATTAATCGATAAATAAAAAATAAATCAATATAATAAGGAAAGAAGACCGACGACCACAGTGAGAGTCGAACTCACGACCTTCTGATCCGAAGTCAGACGCGCTAATCCACTGCGCTATGCAGTCATTTGTTCGTCGTCCCTTGACTTGCAGACAGTGCTGCTACAGCTAGTGGCGAACTTGCGTAATTAATCGATAAATAAAAAATAAGTCAATATAAGGAAAGAAGATCGAAGACCACAGTGGGAGTCGAACCCACGACCTTCTGATCCGAAGTCAGACGCACTAATCCACTGCGCTACACGGTCATTTGTTTATCATCCCTTGACTTACAGACGGTGCTGCTACAGTTAGTGGCGAACTTGCGTAATTAATCGATAAATAAAAAATAAGTCGATAAAAAGAAAGAAGACCGACGACCACAATGGGAGTCGAACCCACGACCTTCTGATCCGAAGTCAGACGCGCTAATCCACTGCGCTATACGGTCATTTGTTTATTGTTCCTTGACTTACAGATGGTGCTGTTACAGTTAGTGGCGAACTTGCGTAATTAATCGATAAATAAAAAATAAGTCGATAATAAGAAAGAAGACCGACGACCACAATGGGAGTCGAACCCACGACCTTCTGATCCGAAGTCAGACGCGCTAATCCACTGCGCTATACGGTCATTTGTTTATTGTTCCTTGACTTACAGATGGTGCTGTTACAGTTAGTGGCGAACTTGCGTAATTAATCGATAAATAAAAAATAAGTCGATAAAAAGAAAGAAGACCGACGACCACAATGGGAGTCGAACCCACGACCTTCTGATCCGAAGTCAGACGCGCTAATCCACTGCGCTATGCGGTCATTTGTTCGTCGTCCCTTGACTTGCAGACGGTGCTGCTACAGTTAGTTACGAACTTGCGTAATTAATCGATAAATAAAAAATAAATCAATATAATAAGGAAAGAAGACCGACGACCACAGTGGGAGTCGAACCCACGACCTTTTGATCCAAAGTCAGACGCGCTAATCCAGTGCGCTATACGGTCATTTGTTTATCGTCCCTTGACTTACAGATGGTGCTGCTACAGTTAGTGGCGAACTTGCGTAATTAATCGATAAATAAAAAATAAGTCGATAAAAAGAAAGAAGACCGACGACCACAGTGGGAGTCGAACCCACGACCTTCTGATCCGAAGTCAGACGCGCTAATCCACTGCGCTATACGGTCATTTGTTTATTGTTCCTTGACTTACAGATGGTGCTGTTACAGTTAGTGGCGAACTTGCGTAATTAATCGATAAATAAAAAATAAGTCGATAAAAAGAAAGAAGACCGACGACCACAGTGAGAGTCGAACTCACGACCTTCTGATCCGAAGTCAGATGCGCTAATCCTCTGCGCTATGCGGTCATTTGTTTGTTGTCCCTTGACTTGCAGATGATGCTGCTACAGTTAGTGGCGAACCTTCGTAATTAATCGATAAATAAAAAATAAGTCGATAAAAAGAAAGAAGATCAACGACCACAGTGGGAGTCGAACCCACGACCTTCTAATCCGAATTCAGACGCGCTAATTCACTACGCTATACAGTTATTTGTTCGTTGTCCCTTGACTTGCAGATGATGTTGCTAGAGTTAGTGGCGAACTTGCGTAATTAATCGATAAATAAAAAATAAGTCGATAATAAGAAAGAAGACCGACGACCACAGTGGGAGTCGAACCCACGACCTTCTGATCCGAAGTCAGACGCGCTAATCCACTGCGCTATGCGGTCATTTGTTCGTCGTCCCTTGACTTGCAGACGGTGCTGCTACAGTTAGTTACGAACTTGCGTAATTAATCGATAAATAAAAAATAAGTCAATATAATAAGGAAAGAAGACCGACGACCACAGTGGGAGTCGAACCCACGACCTTTTGATCCAAAGTCAGACGCGCTAATCCAGTGCGCTATACGGTCATTTGTTTATCGTCCCTTGACTTACAGATGGTGCTGCTACAGTTAGTGGCGAACTTGCGTAATTAATCGATAAATAAAAAATAAGTCGATAAAAAGAGAGAAGACCGACGACCACAGTAAGAGTCGAACTCACGACCTTCTGATCCGAAGTCAGACGAGCTAATCCACTGCGCTATGCGGTCATTTGTTCGTCGTCCCTTGACTTGCAGACGGTGCTGCTACAGTTAGTTGCGAACTTGCGTAATTAATCGATAAATAAAAAATAAGTCAATATAAGGAAAGAAGACCGAAGACCACAATGGGAGTCAAACCCACGACCTTCTGATCCGAAGTCAAACGCGCTAATCCAGTGCGCTATACGGTCATTTGTTTATCGTCCCTTGACTTACAGACGGTGCTGATACAGTTAGTGGCGAACTTGCGTAATTAATCGATAAATAAAAAATAAGTCGATAAAAAGAAAGAAGACCGACGACCATAGTGGGAGTCGAACCCACGACCTTCTGATCCGAAGTCAGACGCGCTAATCCACTGCGCTATACGGTCATTTGTTCATCGTCCCTTGACTTGCAGACAGTGCTGCTACAGTTACTGGCGAACTTGCGTAATTAATCGATAAATAAAAAATAAGTCGATAAAAAGAAAGAAGATCGACGTCCACAGTGGGAGTCAAACCCACGACCTTCTGATCCGAAGTCAGACGCGCTAATCCACCGCGTTATGCGGTCATTTGTTCATCGTCCCTTGACTTGCAGACAGTGCTGCTACAGCTAATGGCGAACTTGCGTAATTAATCGATAAATAAAAAATAAGTCGATAAAAAGAGAGAAGACCGACGACCACAATGGGAGTCGAACCCACGACCTTCTGATCCGAAGTCAGACGCGCTAATCCACTGCGCTATACGGTCATTTGTTCATCGTCCCTTGACTTGCAGACAGTGCTGCTACAGTTACTGGCGAACTTGCGTAATTAACCGATAAATAAAAAATAAGTCGATAAAAAGAAAGAAGACCGACGACCACAATGGGAGTCGAACCCACGACCTTCTGATCCGAAGTCAGACGCGCTAATCCACTGCGCTATACGGTCATTTGTTCATCGTCCCTTGACTTGCAGACAGTGCTGCTACAGTTACTGGCGAACTTGCGTAATTAACCGATAAATAAAAAATAAGTCGATAAAAAGAGAGAAGACCGACGACCACAATGGGAGTCGAACCCACGACCTTCTGATCCGAAGTCAGACGCGCTAATCCACTGCGCTATACGGTCATTTGTTCATCGTCCCTTGACTTGCAGACAGTGCTGCTACAGTTAGTGGCGAACTTGCGTAATTAATCGATAAATAAAAAATAAGTCGATAAAAAGAGAGAAGACCGACGACCACAATGGGAGTCGAACCCACGACCTTCTGATCCGAAGTCAGACGCGCTAATCCACTGCGCTATACGGTCATTTGTTCATCGTCCCTTGACTTGCAGACAGTGCTGCTACAGTTACTGGCGAACTTGCGTAATTAACCGATAAATAAAAAATAAGTCGATAAAAAGAGAGAAGACCGACGACCACAATGGGAGTCGAACCCACGACCTTCTGATCCGAAGTCAGACGCGCTAATCCACTGCGCTATACGGTCATTTGTTCATCGTCCCTTGACTTGCAGACAGTGCTGCTACAGCTAGTGGCGAACTTGCGTAATTAACCGATAAATAAAAAATAAGTCGATAAAAAGAGAGAAGACCGACGACCACAATGGGAGTCGAACCCACGACCTTCTGATCCGAAGTCAGACGCGCTAATCCACTGCGCTATGCGGTCATTTGTTCATCGTCCCTTGACTTGCAGACAGTGCTGCTACAGCTAGTGGCGAACTTGCGTAATTAATCGATAAATAAAAAATAAGTCGATAAAAAGAAAGAAGACCGACGACCATAGTGGGAGTCGAACCCACGACCTTCTGATCCGAAGTCAGACGCGCTAATCCACTGCGCTATACGGTCATTTGTTCATCGTCCCTTGACTTGTAGACAGTGCTGCTACAGTTACTGGCGAACTTGCGTAATTAATCGATAAATAAAAAATAAGTCGATAAAAAGAAAGAAGATCGACGTCCACAGTGGGAGTCAAACCCACGACCTTCTGATCCGAAGTCAGACGCGCTAATCCACCGCGCTATGCGGTCATTTGTTCGTCATCCCTTGACTTGCAGACGGTGCTGCTACAGTTAGTGGCGAACTTGCGTAATTAATCGATAAATAAAAAATAAGTCGATAAAAAGAAAGAAGACCGACAACCACAGTGGGAGTCAAACCCACGACCTTCTGATCCAAAGTCAGACGCACTAATCCACTGCGCTATACGGTCATTTGTTCATCGTCCCTTGACTTGCAGACAGTGCTGCTACAGTTACTAGCGAACTTGCGTAATTAATCGATAAATAAAAAATAAGTCGATAAAAAGAAGAAAGACCAACGACCACAATGGGAGTCGAACCCACGACCTTCTGATCCGAAGTCAGACGCGCTAATCCACTGCGCTATGCGGTCATTTGTTAGTTGTCCCTTGACTTGCAGATGGTGTTGCTACAGTTAGTGGCGAACTTGCGTAATTAATCGATAAATAAAAAATAAGTGAATGAAAAGAAAGAAGACTGACGATCATAGTGGGAGTCGAACCCACGACCTTTTGATTCAAAGTCAAACACGCTAATCCACTGCACTATGCGGTGATTTGTTTGTTGTCCCTTGACTTGCAGATGGTGTTGCCACTGTTAATGGCAAACTTGCGTAATTAATCGGTAAATAAAAAATAAGTGAATAAAAAGAAAGAAGATCGACGACCACGGTGGGAAATGACCCTCTAATCCAAAGTCAGACGCGCTAATCCACTACGCTTTGCGGTCATTTCGTTATTATTCGTTACTCGCGGATGATGCTACTAAAGTTAGTGGCAAACTTGTGTAATTAATCGACAAACGACAAATATAAATAAGTGATTGAAAAGACAGAAGACCGAAAGTTGTTTTCTCGTTTTTGTATCTTACCATATCCACTAAAGATTGTCCTAAGACTAAAATATGGAAGAAAAAAACATTTACTCGCGCTAATCCCAATCAGGACCTAACATATGACGTCCTGTAATCATAGGTAACATGGACGGTTCGTAATATCAATATCACTTACACATATGATTTGTTTTAACCATATGGTGTGTCAATGAAAACAACCTAATGTTAACCCTATCATACCCTGTCAAATCATGTACCATTGTCATAGGAACCCTATTTGAGGCAGGGTTCCATAGGGTCGTGTAAGATTCATCCGATGGTATGAGGCTTTTTCCCCGGTATCGAGTAGACCCTCAAAGGTTCCATATGTTGAGGTTAAAATACTAAGGACAATCATTATGTTAGAAGAATCAAGCTTAAAATATGATTGGTATGTCTTGAGTGAGTCAAAGGTATTTCACTTCAAGATAATATTTGCAGTGAAATTCCATATGTGTTAACATAGAAACTTTTTTCTCCATTGAGACAGGGTCGTTAACTCGATCTGAAAAGTTGTTTTCTTCTTTCAGTATCATACCATATCGACTAAAGATTGTCCTAAGCTTAAAATATGGAAGAAAAAAAAATCATTTACTCTTGTCGATAAGACCTCAAGACGTCAACCCTGTCCCATATGCCCGCTGTCTAAACTTTAGGTATCGAGTAATAGAGCCGATGATTCGGCCCTGTACCTATATTCCAGGGTTGTAACAAAGTACTGGGTCACTTTGACCCTACCATACGAATTTCCAAGATAGGGTACCCGATCCACACCCTTACCATAGGGTTGGTGACATATTTTAACGTCCCTCTGCTGAAGGTGTTAACCATATGAACTTTTCCTCCATGCCTCCAATTAACTCGATTTCGTATTTCACATAACCAAGTCAATTATATTTTCGTATCATATTTTAGATCTTTCCATGAGAATACAACTTTCGTCATTATAATGATTGTCACTAGGACAATCTTTAGTCGATATGGTATGATACTAAAACTAACCAACAACTTTTCAGATCGAGTTAACGACCCTGTCTCAAAGGGGAAAAAAGTTCATATGTTAACACCTATAGAATTTCACTGCAAAATGACCCGCTTGCGAAAGTGAATAAACGGATAGTCATCCATGATCAACTTTTCTTCCATATTTTCCTCCCTTGTCGATAGGCCCGGAATGTGAAGCGAGAGTTATTCGTGCCCATGGGATTGTATACAAAACTGTCCATTATACACCCTATCCGGGGAGTTTCATATTTTAAGGTTACTCGACAGGAAACAAAGGTATGTGTAATGAGGAATTATGGAATAATCGGAATTAGTAGAATGGACTGCTACTCCAAATGTTCCGGAAGCGAAATTGGCGCTTAGTATTTTAACCAATCATATGTGTAAGATTCATCTTCGCTTCAAACACATGATACCTAAGTTCCTATGAGCGTTAAAGACTAAATTCTGAAAAACCTTTAATGAAACGCACGGGTGTAAAATATGGTACCTTATAGGATAAAATTTCACCCACGTTATCGACATAGGTTATGGTGAAAACCCTTTCACAAGGTACGGAACCATAAAGTTCCTGTTAACGATCATATGCCCAAAGGGGGAAAAGTGTAAGTACTTGAGCGTTCTAACCATAGCGGTCCATGATATCGATACCCATGAATCCTATGATTCCCTCAACCTTGTCGAGTAGACCCTCATGGAGGCACCCAAATCTTTATGTGAAAAACCTTTGTTTCTTTCGATTTTTTTCAACGAATCTATAAGGAACGCTCAAGTTTGATGAAACTTACACATATGATTGGTTAACATATGAAACTTATTCACTTTCACTCCTTGGACAGAACACTCATAAGGGAAATTATCGTATACACTATGTGATTATGAGTTAGGACCCTGACATAGGAACGACTCGGAATCATGATTTAACAGGGTTCTGACATGGAGCTCAAGAAAGAAGACCGACGACCACAGTGGGAGTCAATCAAACTCATGACCTTCTAATCCAAAGTCAGACGCGCATGACATAGGAACGGCCCGGAATCATGATTTAACAGGGTCCTAAATCAAACCCATGACCTTCTAATCCAAAGTCAGACGCGCTAATCCACTACGCTTTGGCGGTCATTTCGTTATTATTCGTTACTCGCGGATGGTGCTACTAAAGTTAGTGGCGAACCTGCATAATTAATCGACAAACGATAATTAAAAAAACATGGAGCTCAAGAAAGAAGATCGACGACCACAGTGGGAGTCAATCAACCCCATGACCTTCTAATCCAAAGTCAGACGTGCTAATCCACTACGCTTTCGCGGATGGTGCTACTAAAGTTAGTGGCGAACTTGCGTAATTAATCGACAAACGATAAATAAAAATAAGTGAATGAAAAGAAAGAAGGCCGACGACCACAATGGAAATCGAACCCACGACCTTCTGATCCGAAGTTAGACGCGCTAATCCACTGCACTATACGATTATTTGTTCGTTGTCACGTGACTCGTGGATGGTCTGCTACAGCTAGTGACGAACTTGCATAATTAATCGACAAAAGATAAATAAAAACAAGAAATTGATAGGAAAGAAGACTGACGATCACAGTGGGAGTTGAACCCACAACCTTATGATCCAAAGTCAGCTAATCCACTGCGCTAATCCACTTCGAATCAGAAGTTAGTGGCGAACTTGCGTAGTTAATCGAGAAACGATAAATAAAAAGGAAGAAAGACCGACCACACAGTGGGAGTCAAACCCACAACCTTCTGATCCGAAGTCAGACGCGCTAATCAGAATGCATTTTGGGGTTAGGTAGTTAGCCGGACTAACTAAAAGGAAATGTCACGCTCAGCGTGTCACGAGATATGGGGCGTTCTAATCGAAGGGTCATACTTCTCGGCCCTATTATGGTAAGGCCAATGCACCCGCCGGTGTGATGGCGAACACGCTGTGCTGTCAGCTAAGCTGTTCCCCTTGTAGACGACAGAGGAGATATATAGAGTGTGCCGTGCTTTCTTGATAAATAGTAGCACTAGTACATCTCTTGCATAATTAATCGACAAACGATAAATAAAAATCAATCCACTGCGCTATGCGGTCATTTCGTTATTGTTTCGTTACGCGCGGATGGTGCTACTACAGTTAGTGGCGAACTTAAAAATAAGTGATTGAAAAGAAAAAACAGAAACAACCACAGGAGGAGTCGAACCCACAACCTTCTGATTCAAAGTCAGACACGCTAATCCACTACACTATGCGGTCATTTGTTCATCATCTCGTGACTCGCGGATGGTGCTGCCACAGTTAGTGGCGAGCTTGCGTAATTAATCGACAAACGATAAATAAAAATAAGTGAATAAAAAAAGGAAGTTAGACAGACGCGCTAATGCATTCCGACACTGTGACTCGCGGACAGTGCTGCTACAACTAGTGCCTAACTTGCGTAATTAATCGACAAACGATAAATAAAGGGAGTTGAATCCATGACCTTGTGATCCGAAGTCAGATTCCCTAATCCAAACACTATGCGGTCATTTGTTCGTTGTCTCGTGACTCACAGATAGTGCTGCTACAATTAGTGGCGAACTTGCGTAATTAACCGACAAACGATAAATAAAAATAAGTGATTGAAAAAAAAGAAGACCAACGACCAAAGTGGGAGGCAAACCCATGACCTTCTAATCCAAAGTCAGACGCGCTAACCACTACGCAATGCAATCATTCGTTTGTCGTCTTGTGACTCGAAAATGGTGCTGCTACAATTAGTGGCGAACTTGCATAATTAATGACCATCCGAAGTCCTAATCCACTGCACTATGCAATCATTTATTTGTTGTCTTGTGACTTGCAGAATAAATAAAAATAAGTGAATAAAAAAGAAGAAGAAAAATCAACCACTATGGGGAGTCGAACCCACGACCTTCTAATCCAAAGTTAGATGCACTAATCCACTACGCTATGCAACTCGTGACTCACAGATCATGCTGCTACAGTTAGTGGAGAACTATGCACGCAATGAGGTCATTTCGTTATTCGCGGATGGTGCTGCTACAGTTAGTGGCGAACTTGCGTAATTAATCGACAAACGATAAATAAAAATAAGTGAATGAAAAGAAAGAAGACCAACGACCACAGTGGGAGTTGAACCCACGACCTTCTGATCCGAAGTCAGACGTGCTAATCCACTACGCTATGCAGTCATTTGTTCATTGTTGTGACTCACAAATGGAGCTGCTACAGTTAGTGGCGAACTTGCGTAATTAATCGACAAACGATAAATAAAAAATAAGTGAATAAAAAGGAAGAAGACCTGACCACAGTGGGAGTCAAACTCATGACCTTCTGATCCGAAGTCAGACGCGTTAATCCACTGCGCTATGCAGTCATTGGTTCATCATCTTGTGACTCGTGGATGGTGGTGCTACAGTTAGTTGCGAACTTGCATAATTAATTGTCAAACGATAAAGAAAAATAAGTGAAAAAATGAAGAAGACCGACCACAATGGAAGTCAAACCCACAACCTTCTGATCCAAAGTTAAACGCACTAATCCACTACACCATGCGGTCATTTGTTCATTGTCTATGACTCGCAGATGGTGCTGCTAAAGTTAATGGCAAACTTGCGTAATTAATCGACAAACGATAAATAAAAATAAGTGAAATAGAAAAGAAGAATACCAACCATAGTTGGTGTCAAACCTACAATCTTCTAGTCCGAAGTCAAACACGCTAATTCCTATGCAATCATTTGTTCATTGTCTTATGACTCGGCAATGACTCGATAAACGATAAATAGAAATAAGTAGATAAAAAGGAAGAAGACCAACCACAGTGGGAGTCAAATCACAACCTTCTGATCATCATCTGGTGACTTGCGCAATTAATCGGCTAACAATAAAAAGAAACAAGTGAAAGAAAAAGACCGACCAAAGTGGTAGTGGGTTGGGATGAGACAAGATAATTGTTTTGGTTGTAAATTTTCACAAACTTGCCCAATTCAACCCTAAAAACCCTAAAACTTTTTGGATTAAGCTGATTTAAGTTATTTATTTAAATTTTTGTGTTTAATAAAAATAAAATGTTAGTTTATAAAATATTTCTTTTTTCAAATGTTTTATTTTAAAATTTGTGTTCCAAATAATTAAATATTATTTTAAAGAGTTAGTTGAAAAATAAATAATTATGAAATTAAATAAAAATAAAAAAATAATATATATTTATACAAAATGTAAATTTTCAATAAATTTGGATACATTTCAACCTAAAAGCATAGTGTGAATCAAATTCAATCTATAAAAGTGTTATCTTCTATAATAATAAATTTAAAAAAAGAAAAAACTACACTCCACATAGAACTTGGTTTTCGGTGACATATTGGATTAGTTTAAAGTGCTTATAAAAAAATAAACAGCTTCAGCTTTATAAGAATAAAGTGTAATCAACAGACAAAATTTATATAAGTAAATTTCATGATAGCCATGGCAATAAAAAGAAAGTGGTTCTCCAAGACGACATCCATGAGGGAGAAGAAGCAAGCCTAACAGCAAAGAAAATAACCCAACACAAGACCTGCAAAATCATCACAAGAACAAATTCTAAAAGCTTTCCCCTAATTGTTTTCCTACAAGAAACACGAGAGACAAATGGAGTGCCTCATGGTTCCTTCCTCTTAAGTCTCTTCACATCAAATATTCAAAATCTCCCCTGCAAAAAATCAATAGATGTCGTTGTTAAAATGGAACTCTAAAGCACATATTCATGTAACTCAGTGAGAATAAACGGCGTTCATCGACGTTCGGTTCAGTGGTTTTCCAGAGAGAGACAACTATCTACTAACAACCAATTCTAGCATTGTAAGAAAAATGAATGGACCAAACTATTTAGTGTTTGCTGTATTATAAAATGCCTTACTTGGTTGTTGTTCCATGTTTGTCCACCAGGAGTGTAGTTTCGTTGTTCTTCTTGCATGTTTCTTTCGGTCGAGCCTGGATAAGATCCATGACTCTGTCCTTGACCATAAGGCGTTCCTGTTCCATGGCCATGATATCCGCCTTGCCCATGAGCTCCACCCTGTGCAGGATTAAAACCATTACCAGAATTACCCTGGCCCGGTGGCGGTACATAATCTCTCTGCGCTCCTCCTTGGGGTTGGTAATTTCCTTGCACATCATGGTTATGACTTCCCTGCCCCCATTGGTTGTAGTTTCCTTGATTAGAAGTCATTGGACCTCTTCCTCCTCCCTGATAGGGATCTCTTCCTTCAGGAGCATAATTGTTCATAGGTGAAGGATCTCTCCTTTCTCCAGCCCCAGGGGGGCCATAATTTTGGGGTGGACCTTGTGGTGTATAGTTCTGTGAAGGCCCGAAGTTGCGTCCATCTCCTTGCATAGAACCCTGTTGACCGAAGGATGCATTACCTTGCCAATTCGGTGCTGGTCTATTCCCCCTATCATATCTCGGTTGATCGGGATTTCTGTTCCGTTCACGATACCTTCCCCCCTGCCTCCCATATTGAACCGGCGGTGGTCTTGGTATAATTGTTCCATCAATATATTTGTCTCCTGATGATTACAAAATAAAGTAGCAAATTCAAAGAAAGAAATGGCACATTTAATATACCCCCCACATTAGTCATTGTCAATTTGGAAATTTGCATACCTCCATACTCCTTGTTTACAGGATCAATGTAAGAATCAGGCAATATAAACACAACACCAGGTAAACCTAGAAAAATAAATATGGAAAATCAGCATGGAACATGATATCTGAATGGTGGAAAAGTAAATGTCTTTAGCAACTACCGCGAAATTTTTCTGATTCTTCTTCTGTCATTACAGCTTGAAACCCCTGATACGTTGTTGTACTACAAGCATACATTTTCTTTTTTGCTTCTTCCACACTGTTCATGGTTTGGGGAAAGAATGTTAAACAGAGGCACAATTTTTCCCAATTTAATCATCTCAAAATACTAAGCTACAGCAGCTTCAATCAGTTCAAATTTCAACAAAAAGGTAAAAATTGTCGTGAACATAGTTAGAATAAAGAATGTGATAAGATCATGCGATGGCTACAAAAGCAAGATTCTCTTGAAGCATGCCATGGTTGGTAAGACAGAAAATACACCAACTTAAGATCCATGGGTGTTAAAGGCCAAGTTACCTGCATTAACATGATAACTAATCTTATAATAGGATATCTAAAGGTTAAGAAAACCAGAGGATAAATATCCTGAGGTAGCATTAAAACTTGATCTCATAACCTAAATATATGAATTATAATAGCTTAACCTTTTCAGTACTGGTCAAGTCCACAGTGGGTAACATAATACTACCATATATTAATAAATAATACCATGAACATTCCATCAACTAAGCCAGCCTACACACTCCAACCAACAACAAAAAAACATAGGATGAGAAATGAAACCTCCACCTGTGAGATCTCACATCGGTTGCAGAGGGGAACGAAGCTTATAAGGGTGTGGAAACCTCTCCCAAGTAGAGGCGTTTTAAAAACCTTGAGGGGAAGCTCGAAAGGGAAAGGCCAAAGATGACAATATCTGCTAGCAGTGGGCTTGGACCGTTATAAATGGTATCAGAGCCAAGCATCGGGCGGTGTACCAGCGATGACGCTGGGCTCCCAAGGGGAGTGAAATGTGAGATCCCACATCGGTTGGAGAGAGAACGAAATCTTCTTTATAAGGATGTGGAAACCTCTCCCTAGTAGATACGTTCTAAAAAACTTCAAGGGAAGCCAGAAAAGGAAAGCGCAAAGAAAACAATATCTGCTAATGGTGGGTGGGTTGGACAGTTACACCACCTCTCTTGCTTTAAATAATATATCAAATTCCCGTTAACTTCAGAGAGTATTTGATTCAGGATGATGAAGGAAGCATATTACAGAGAAAATAGTGCTACTTAGGAGACCAGAATAGAAGAAATTGAGTGATGATAGATATATATCTAACTCAGGTTTACTCGTTAATATTCAATAAAAAATAGTTTGGAGTCATTTCATATCAGCAGCATCTGCGTTGCGACAGAAAACTGTAAAGGAACAAAACTATCCATCCTAAATAATCTTGGGAGTGGCATATAGATTTCCTACCAGAAGTATGCATAGCCACACCGAGATATCTTCACTTTATCAATCATAAAAATGAAATGAGGAGAAAATGCAAATCAGAACAGTCAAAATTCAAATGATTCCAAAATATAATGACATGAATAATTGAAGAGACAACTCAAACGAAGTTGCGCCTCTCGTGTAGCGAGTAAGGAGGCAAGAGAGGCAGGATGTAAGTTCTAAAACTCATGCTTTAACAAAAGTCGAAAAGAAATAAAACCTTATATTCAAGCCTTTGGCACAGGTTTCTTCGTAGGTCCGAACCATCTCCTCAGGAGTGGGTTTAGGGTCCTTAGGGAATTCCATGGTGATAAGCCAGTGGTTGTAATCGCAGCCCTCGAACAGTATTGTATCGGGCCCTATCTTGTCATCTTCGGTATTGCTCCCAAACGATGACCGGTAAGAGAGCGCCATTGACGATGATCTCAGAGGCCAACATGGTGAGATCATGGCGGGAGACTTTGATAGTGAAACAGGGGAAGTAAATAAAAGAGAGAGGCTAGTTTGAGTAGATACGGCCGAAGTCGAAGAAACATGGCGGTGGAAAACGGAAAGAGCGGACAAGGTGCGGCGGAGACGAAGTGAATGCACTGCCATAACTGGTTCGAGACGGTAGTCGGAATGGACAAAGAACCGAGGGTTTGGGGAAAATATTTTCTGAAGGGTTTTGGATGAAGTATAAAGGCGACAGAGGGTCCTCGTTGATCTTAAACGACGCCGTTTTAATTCTTTCAACTTCAATATGATTGGCATTTTCTTGTTTTTTTTTTCTTTTTTCCCCTTTTTTGTACAATAATGGTAGTATTTAAATATTTGTATGGTTAATTTTAACTCAATTAAACTATATTTTAACAAATTAATAAATAAATTAAAGTGTTCCAAAAGTGAATAAAAATTGAAATCAATATTAATTTAGGACAGGAAAAGAGGAAATGCTTTCGCAAGAAAAGAGGAGGAAGAAGAGTCGGTCAAGCAGCTTCCTTAGCCCCTCTCCTTTCGAAACTCTTAGTCAAGCCATGGAGCGCCCTTTGTAAAGGTAAGGCCTTAGTTTTCCCTATTAGGCAACCTAATATGGTGCAATGCTTTCTTTTTGTGTGTGTGCACGCGCAGTAAGGAGATGGTTTGAGATAAAAGCTCCGTCTCCTCCTTCTAAAACGTTGAAAAAGCGCTGTCAGCTTCCCCTTTTCTCTATAGAAATGGATAGAAATGTGTACCCGTCGAACCAAGGACCTACGAAAGTCGGGGCTACCCCTCGCCATGACCAACACAATAGTGTTCTAAACGAAATGAACATAAGAAGGAAATGTATATATGTAACGAAAATTGATCGAAGAATCCTTAATAACTCATTTAGGGAAAGAAAAAACAATTTTTTTTTTAAAACATGTGAGTTCTGTTTGAAGTAAAGTTAAGCACAAGGAAACTCCTTCCAGTGGAGCTTTGTGTCCAAAAAATGGGCAAAGATGTGTAGAGGGAGGGCATGAAAAAATGAATATATAACCTTTCTAAGCCTTAAAAAGAAACAATCTCTGCCCTTCTCATGACCGAGATATCACTTACAGCCGAGGAAATGTGAATCACAAAAGAAAAAAAGAACAAAATTGGGCACTCCTAATGCATAAAAACCATGCACCCACAAACACTAACCCTGTGAGTTCAATCCAACAGGCGTTTGCAAGAAGACATCTCCTGCCTGCTATATGATACAATCGCTTCCTCTCACGATTTTCGAAACAACATCGACACGATGAAGCGGAAAGTGAAGCTAAGTGTGGTCTTCTTTTCTCTTGTATCAACCCCTAATCGCACTTGATGTTTTTGTAGATCCTCCTCACGAACAAGTTGGAGCCAAGGTAGCCCACAGCTCCTGCACATTCAGAATATTAATCAACCGGGTTCAATCGATACCGTGCTAAAGAAACATGCTCATCTTAAAGAATACCAGAGGCAATCAAAAAAATGTCAACGAGTATGAAGTTCACAGCAGTCTGTAGTGGAAGTAAAAATCATTTATAGAACATGTAATTTAGAAAACAGAAGATATAAAAGCGGATTCAAAAAGTTGCTGAAATTTAGAGAAGTATGCAACAACTCACCGCATAAAATTCCTAATCCAAGACAGAACATCAAGGTATATCCAAAATAGAAGCTGGTCTGGAAGAAGCCTGACATCTTTGTCTTAACATAGTAGTAGTATATTGAGTATAAGTACACATAAACAGCGGTTGATGCAGCAGAGAAGAAAGAAGTCCACTGCCAGTGATAGTTCTCAGCATTGAGCAAGAAGTATGTCCCAACGATTGTGACACAAATAGTAACAATAATGAGAATCAGAAAAACCAGCAGCATAAAGCCATAGACATAGTACACCTGCTGACAAGAATAGAATGTTATAACTGTAAAAATCATGTTCGATACGAGATGAATCAGTTGTGACACTTCCAATAAATTTATGCAACTATTTCCACCAACACCAGCAACGTCAAATAATTTTTTCGGTCGTTATTTCTTGTGATAAGAAACCACAATACATTACTGCTCAAAAATACAAAAACGAAGCAAACGGAGTGAGCATTGAGCAACACCGCAACCTAACAAGAGACCTTGAGAGAAGCAATTCCAATCAAATTCTATAATAAAGATCAAGTAAGTATCAGAAAAATGATGGGATATACTCCAGCATAAAACAGTGTGCTGTAAACGTAAACAATCCAAAAACCTTCTACTTAGCCTATCTTTCTTCTGGAAAAATCATTGTTACTCTCAATCCTAAGAAGTCTCGAAAAAATTTAGACAGGAAGAACCAAAAAGAAAATTGATGTATGGGTTCTTGCAACAATTATATGTAAAAATAGTTGTTATCTTTAGCCATTCAAGTAATAGAAAATTACAAACATCTTGGACGGATAATCGCATAATTGTATCACAGATCATGTTCAATTTACATGCAGATAGATTCAAAACTATACTTTCTGCGTTGTCTTCATGGTCATGACTACAAAGTCAAGTCCCAAGGTCATTTGGTTTAACTCTATGAGGGTGCCTGCTTGAGAGGTTTGGGTAGGAATGAACCAAAGAGTATTATAAGATAAAGCGCAGTCATGGAAGAAATTCAGAATTTGACTTAGATGTTTGGGTTATGCAGGTGCACTATTTCTATCCTTTACATAATTTTGTAGGCCTATTTTTATTCTACCTAATTGGGACAATTTTTGTGGATTCCCTTGGCACCTCATCAATTGCTATAATTGACAAGTTCATCATACTATTGCACTTAATAACTTGCTATTTTCACAATTAACCAACCACATGCACACAAAAACAGGGCACTTCACCTTGTAATTCCAGAAAGATGTGAAGACAAAATACATCTCAATGAAGATGCTGCCAAAGGGCAACAATCCACCCATCAATGAGACCACAGACGGCGTGAGGTACCATTTCTTCTCAGGAATTGGACGAGGGATGGTCTTCACACGGCAAGGGTTGTTTGCAGTGCCACTCCAGTTTCTTCCAACAACTGTACCGAGAAGTACCAGAGGGAAAGAAATGAAAGCCCAAATGACAAAAACAACGACCATGGTGCCAAATGGAATAGCTGCTAAAGAACCATAGAATACAGCAATCATGTTCAAAACGAAGCCGATTCCAAAGCATGTGAAGGGAAATAGAGAGGCTGTGAGGATCATCGACTTTATCCAACTTTTACCTGATGATGGAATGTAACATAAGAAATAACCACATAAGCAACCATACTCAAGCATATATTGAAGTATAAAGAAGGATAACAGGAAAATTAGTAGATAAAATGCTTACCACCATGGCGTGAGTACATTCCACCACTCACATAACCTGATAGAGATGATGTAAGTGCATAGCATACAATGAAAGTTGTGATAATTGCCCCCCTCCTGCATCAAAATGGAACCGTTGCAAGAAAAACATGACAAAGAAGAGATGAAATGAAATCAAAGAGAAGGCACAAGAGAGATTTGACATTGCATGGTTATTAATTCAATAAGTATGCTGGCTTCGTTGTAAAGAAAATGTACAAACTATAATAAAAAGGCAAAATATTACATACCCGACATACAACATTACAACAATTGCCAATAAGATAACGAGAAGAACAAGTACTGCAAGCTGAGCACCTGTGCCCACAACAGCTGAAAGAATAACTAGACCACGAGGAGATCTAAAAACGTCTCCATGAACAAGCTTCCAGCCAGACTCTTCATTGACATCCCGTTCCTGAAAACAAAATATATGCACACACAAAGAATTGATAAGAGATCAATATTTTCTCAAACATGGAGCAAAAATTTATATTAAAAAAAACAGATATATATACATCTATGCATACGTGAAAACATAAATATACAAGTATACACACAGATATAAATAGATATATAAAGAAAGAAAGAGATCAAAAAAGCAAGGGAATATCACCAGAGTCTCCAGATCATCATCCTCCCGAGCATATTTTGCATAGTCATTTCTAAGAGTCCGCATTAATATCATTGACACCAAACCAGTAAGGAAGATGACCATCATGAAGGAGTTAAAAATAGAAAACCAATGGATCTGCACATTCAAACACATGCCATACTTGGTTAAAATAGAACAGAGAGAGCCAAGCAAAGTAGCTACATAACTAAAACGGAAACACAAGCACAATGAACGTAAATATGACCAGAAGAGCGAAGATACTGCACAAGAGAGAAAGGTATTCTGTTTGGGAATCCAAACATAGAAGTTGAACACTTTTTGGACAAGATTTTTCTTCTTTATTTTCTGAAGAATGCCGACTTTCCTTTTCAGGCAAACTTAGCATTTAGTAAAAATGAGAAGTTGATTAAAACTGTTGAGATGACCTTTTTACAATTGAACAGGATGAGAAGTTAATAGATAAAAGGTTAAATTTATTAAAATTCAATAGAATACCTGGTGCTCAAAAAATGGATAATCCAAATAGATATCAAAGCGGCGGGCAAAAGTGACATTGGTAGGTATCCATTTGACAGAATATGTCATGTCCAAAGATCTTCCAACCTCCAAGGACTTTGGGCTTTCTTGAGTAAGATTCACATGAATAATCTACAGGACAAAATTTTAGCTGTTATAAATCAATTAACCGAGTACCACAATAAAAGTCCGTATAAAGTTTGAACTTTCACAAACCTGGTCTTTGTTGTATTTAACAATAATATTCTTATGAGTGTACAGAACATGTTTTTCATCTTCACTATTCTTGTCTGAATGCAGCTCTCCAACAAAGCCTAAACAGTGCAAAACAAAATTTCAGCAAGCCATCAACTAATTTAAGAACTCTCCAATTGAACAAACTGCAGCAGGCAGAGAACATACCCCATAAAGGCAGATCATCTGAACTTGTATTTGGCATGAAAAGAATAAGAAAAAAACATATACATAAAACAAGAGTCAGTTTTACAATAAAGAATCAAGATCACAAGGCTACAACTAGATATAACCTGGAGGAAAAGAAAAGAGGCAAAAGAAACAATTGATTGTAAACTGCAGTTTGTTGCTAATTGAAGTAAAGGTCCAGTTAAACACATTCTGCTCATTTCTTATTACCTAACTGTCAAATAATTTTTTTTTCTGGGCCAAAGAATACAACGTTGAGATGTCATGGAAAAACTTGAGAGTGTCTATCTGGGGGGGGGGGGACATGTTTTTTCTTTGAAAGAAAAAAAAATATCTTTTTGGTCCATGAATTTTGAGTTTGATTTCCATTTGTTCCTTGGGGGAGGAGCATCCCAAGCCCATAATGTCTATGCTTATAAGCTAGTGAGGTAACATGTTACTTATTTGAAGAAATAAATATCTTTTTGGTCCATGAATTTTGAGTTTGATTTCCATTTGTTCCCTATGTTTCAAAACACTATATTTTTTTCTTTGACCTTTGAGTTTAGTTTCCATTTTAGTCCCTAAGTTACAAGATTTTACCGACAAATGCTCACCTTTGACCTTTGATGTTAACTTTCAACTAAATAATTTAATCATGATGTGGAATTTTTAAATTAATAGTGACAAAAATTTAACAAAAACCAATTTAATCATACTTAATTTAATTTTTTTAAGTTAATTAATAGAAAATGAACACAAATGACAAATGACTAAAAGTAAGTATTATCACATGAGCATTGTAAAATCTTGAAACCTAGGACCAAATGGAAACTAAACTCAAAACTCAGAGGTAATATAGTAAAATTTTGAAATCTAAGGATCAAATAGAAACCATACTTAAAAATAGGATTTGCTTTTAACAATGTGTCAAACTATTGTAAGGATAACTCCCTCATCAAAATCACTTACACATGAGTCCTAAGGCTTACCATCAAAATCAAAATGGTCATCGAGTTGTTGTAATTCATTATGAAGTTAAACTAATATGAGATAAAAATCTATTGCCAATAAGAAAAGGAGATCAACAATATTGAAAGCGGTCTTGCTTTAGTTCAGTTATGACGAGCAAGGTTCACTTCTATATATCCTCCTCTCCTTATGTCTAACATTGAAATTCTTCTGAGCTGGTCTCCAATGAATTTTAAATCGCACCTAGGCTGAAGGGCAAATCTAGTCCAATGAAGAGTTAAGTCACTACGATTAGGTACCCTTCTACCTTTTTTAATGAGATTAAAAAGAAATTTGATGAAACACCTTTTACCAATTTATGTCGTTGTTAGTAGTAAAAGAAAAGTTAGGACAATTAATTTCCATTGTTCTAATTGAAAGTGATTAAGATGTTTAACTAACTGGCCTATTCCTCAACAAGCAAATAAGGTTGTGATGGACAGATAAATTCAATTTAAATAAATTTTCCGAAGTGAATTATATCACCATTCAATCAATTATGTATGTGTTAGCATAGCTATAAAACATTATACAGATCGTACCCATAAAGAATTCAAGCCAGTAACTGCTCTTGATTGCATCCTTGAATTGTTTAACCGTTGTTTCATCAAGATCAAGATGACAAATGGTAGTTCTGTCCACATTTCCTGCAACATGAAAATATTAATGAGCAAACTGTATAGCCATGTCTAGCTTATCAGATTTAGCATAACACGAAATATTGCATACTCTGAAACTTTAATTCGATCCGACTGTCAATAAGTTCATTTCCACCAAGGACCTCACCAAGACCACCCCATTTGTGAGCAGATTCCCCAGATGGGTGACAAAATGGAAGGCTATAGTAATTATATGTTTCTTGTGGATTATTATAAGGGCCAACTTTGTTTACCCAGAGAACAACTGATTCCCCTGGTTGATACTGCAATTAATGATTATGAAGGGAGGGTAAGCAACTCGAATTAGAATCTTAAGCACTAAAAAACTTCACAAACTTTAAACTAAACGAAAAACAGACAAGGTCGATATCAAGCAGCATCTTAATCAATATACACTATGCAAACAAATTGCTGGAGGAGATGTCACTAAAACACAACTAAAACAAAAAAGAATAATCACGTTGACCATGTTATCCAGCTAGCTAAACGTGACGTTCAAAAAGTTATTGGGAGACCGGGAGTGCATGAATTAAAAAAAGAATCAAAGTTGTTGTCTTTTGCAAGTATCAGGATCTTTGGAGAACTTCTTTCTTTTACATAAAGAAAATGCCAGCTCAGACGAACAGCATGGAATCTATATAACAGAACCTTGTAAAACTACGGGAAATAAATATATATTGGAAAAGGTACCTTTACAACGTTGCTGGGATATAACATATAGAGGTTCAAATTCAAATTATTTGAGAACTGCTATAAGACCCATTTTTATTTAATCTAAGAACAAATAAAAAGGATACTGATGAATTTATGCAGGAAAAAGAGCGTGTCTTATCATATGACCAACTACGATTGTGCAAAGGTGTAAACAGATTTCGCGGCAGACTGACTTAACGCTAAGTTTGGATCTGAACAAAATAAATTAATTGTCTAACTGCAGCAGTTGGCCCCTTGGTTTGGATTAAAAAAACTTATGGAATTAAAAAAAAAAAAAAAAAGAACACTCGTGAAGAATCCTTCATCACTGCTAAAGACTCCGTTCCTGCTGCTTTGATCTGGACACCGTCGAACCAATATCAGCTGGATAGTTCAAGAAATATTCTTATATACGCCTACCTCCGCCGCAAATTGACAGTTCGCGGGTTAAATTAGAACGTGAGAAACACCAATGGACATGTGAAAACAGAAATGAGATTCAATACGGCAGTCCAGCAATAGAGCGCTAACACAAACACATTCAAAATGACAAAATATAAAACGGCAATAGAGACTAATGTCAAAAACCCGAAACCAATCAAACGGCGGCAAAAGCATCAAAATGTGCACGGATCTGACATAAAGAATCCAAAGAGAAATGGAGGAAGGACGGGAAGGTCTTGGAGATCAAGTGGCCAATTCATTGGTGTGCAGAGTTTGGTAGATGAGCTCAAAAGATAAGGAAATTGCGTACCTTGTGATCCGACTCAGAAGCAAGCGCGGGAGAACGGAAAAAGATGAAGAAGAAGAAGATGAAAGGCCCTGTTAGAGGAATCCGGCGTACGCAAGAGGACATGGCAGAAGGTGGGTGGTGAAGATGGCCGGCTGTTGCCTCCGTCGCTCTCTCTCTCTCTCCAGGCCCGGGTGCTGCACTTCCCAACAATGGAAGGTGGAAGACTGGCAATCGGCCTTTCCGAAAAAACTAAATATCATTCTATTTTTAAAATATGAAAAAATATGTTATGTTTTTTTTTTTCCTTTCCATTTTTTTTTTTTTTTAATAAATGTCTTGTTTTCATCCATGAATTTTAACTATTGTAATAAAAAATAAATAAATAAAGCTTTAAATTCATTTTCATATAATTAATTATGTTTTTATTATTTTACTTCCTCCACTTCAAAGTATTTATTTTCATCTTTCCATGTTTAAAAATTAATAAAATAAAGTAAAATACTTAATGACTTTTAAAATACGTTTTAGTCTTGTATTTATTTTCAAATTTATTCTAGCTTTTAAATTTAAAAAAATTAATAATAAATAAGTCACTTTATTACTTCAAAATATATATATATATATATATAATTCTATTGTAATTTTATTTGAATATCGCAAAATAAAGAGTGAAGTCAAAAGTCAACAGTGACAAGTAAATCCACGAGGATGGCTTAAATGCACTCGAGGTGGTGGTCTTCGAGCCATATTTAATTTCGACAACATCTTGGAATGTGATGTCTCACATTAGTTGGAGAGGAGAACAAAACATAAGGGTGTGGAAATTTTTCCACGCATTTTAAAGCCTCGTGGAAAAGCTCGAAATGGAAAGCCCAAAGAGGACAATATCTAATAGCGGTGGAATTGGGTCGTTACAAATAGTATCAGAGTCAGACACCGGACGATGGGTAAGCCTTCTCGCTATTTTCCAAAGGGGTAGACATGTGGCGGTGTGCCAGGAAGGACGCTGGCCCCAAAGGGGGTGGATTTGGTGTCAGTCCCACATCGATTGGAAAAAGGAACAAGTGCCAGCGAGGATGTCGGGCCTCGAAGGGGGTGGATTGTGATGTCCCACATTGGTTGGAGAGGAGAATAAAACACCCTTTATAAGAGTGTGGAAACCTTCCCCTACCAGACGCGTTTTAAACCCTTGGGGGGAAGCTCGAAAGAGAAAGCCCAAAGAAGACAATATCCGCTAGCGGTGGATCTGGGTCGTTACATAGAACATTGTGGCGAATAATTGTGCAACATTATTAAAAGCTTTTATCTGGGTCATTACATGGAACTTCATTATTCAGTCTTGCCCAGTCATGATTTATTGGCGGTCTGTCTGTCAAATTTTCAAACTACAATGTTGATGACGGTTCTCTTTATTTGAGCGTATTCGATAATGAACTCCAAATCTAGTCTAGTAATCTTTCAATAGATTGCCTTGACTGTGTGAAAGTACTGAACGTGTCATTCTCTTTTGAGCGTATCGTTCTCTTTTGAGAAAAATGTTATGAACGTGTCTTATGTTTCTTTCGACATCTTGTTATCCCAAACATGTTTCAATATATCTTATTCGACTCTGGTTTTTAAGACAACATTACCTTGTCTGCCGTTATTTATCATTTGCGTAAGACACCATTATGTTTTTCTTATAGAGGCGTAATTTTGCTTTTGTCAACAACATTCCAATGGTTTTGTTCTCGTAGATATGACGTCATGCATGTTACCCACATGTCGTAGTTATTACTGTTGAGTTTCTTGATTCCTCCGGTGACTGTAGATCCATTGTGTTGATAATACATCAATAATACCAAACACAACCACAGAGTAAAACTACAACCACAAAGCATACTAATACTTCTAAAAGACCATACAACCTATACCAACTTCGCTCTGATACCAAATTATTTGAAATTACTTAGGATTAAAAACTTAGCTCGATAAAGAAGTATGTGTAATAGAAATTATACATTTTATTCCTAAAATATATAAATATTCATAAAATGCCTCTCTCTCTCTCTCTATATATATATATATGTATCAAGACATTTTTATTTTACCATTTTACTAAATAATTAACTCAACTCAGCTCGCCACTTGTCGCCATTGCACTTTGATGGCAGTGGACTTGCGATTTTGTAACACTCACTTTCTAGCAACAAGTTAGTTAAGCCTATTCGTTCTTGCGTCGCCTGTGGGCAAACGACATATGCTCGAGCCTCTGGCCCTGATTCAAGAAGAAAGTTTCAGAAAACGGGGCAGAGAGATTTCGAAATATGGTTTTGAAAAGCGAGATTTGAGAAATTGAAATTGGTGTATATGGGAATGTAAGCAAAATGCAACAATGACGACTTATTGCATATAACTATCAGCTAGGGAGAAGTTGACAACGAGTCATATCATAACTATAAATTTGTTAGGTTGAGTCGGATTGTTTGGTTTATTTATTTAAAATTTTATTTTTAATAAAAGTAAAATGTTATTGCAAAACATCTATTTATTTATTTTTAATCGTTCAAATATATAATTTGGAAAACTGCCGTTGGAAGATTAAAAATTAATTGAAAATTAAATAATTATAAAATTAAATAAATATAAAACACAATAAATTTGAGGGAATTGAAACTCAAAATTTTTAATTTATTTGAAGTACCCTAAAATAGATGGGCCCGGCCCAGTTTTAATAGTTAGGTGGGCTCGGCCCAGTTTTAATAGTGAGATGGGCCGTCAGCCCGTTACGAGCAACCTAGGGTTTTATGCCCCAAAAGAAAAGAAAACCTATGGTTTATTATATAAAGGGAGTCTGCTCTTTCCCCTTGTCTTCCTCCACTTCCCCTTCGGCTCCTTCCTGCGCTCGCGGCTCCAAGTCTACAATGGTGAGAGCTACTTCTCTCCCCTTCTTGCGTTTTCCCTCGTTTTTTTCTTCTGTGGTTTGCCCACCGTTGGATCATATACCTGTTTCTACTGTCTGGGTATACGATTGAAGTTCACTTCATCATGATTCCACTGAATTTTCGTACTTTTCCCTCGCATTTTTCATCTTCGTAGTTCTTAGTGTAGTTGAATCTATATCTTACTGTTTCTGAGACGTTTATGTAGCCATAGATTTCATGTTATGCACGTTTGGACATGTATGTAAACTAATAGAGTACTGAGAGTTCTACTGGTTTATTCAATATTTACCCACACACTCCACCTGAATGTGAATTCTCATTTCTGCGCACTGGTTTTCCGACTGAAATTTCACATATCTTTGCTATCGTCCGTTTATTTCCTTGTTTTGGGAGCCATTGTACCGTTAACTTTGAATTTAATTCATATATTTTCTGTGGCTCGTGATATATTTTCAATGCTCGGGGTGCTTATACGTCGAGCTATTAATTGTAGGCTTTTGCCAAAGCCCAGAAAACAAAGGCCTACTTCAAACGTTATCAAGTCAAGTTCAAGAGAAGAAGAGGTAATTTTCTCCGAGATAAATAATATACGAATGTTTTGGCTTCATTTAATTTTTCTGATGGCTTTATCTGAATATTCGCAGAGGGAAAGACTGATTATCGGGCCAGAATTCGTCTTATTAATCAAGACAAAAACAAATACAATACTCCCAAGTATCGTTTTGTTGTTCGATTTGTATCCTACTAAAGATTTTAGTCCGAATATTTTGTAGTAATTTACCAATTGTGTGCAAGGGCGTGGATAATTGTTGCTCTGTAATGATCAAATGGAAATAATTTGTTCTTTTCCTTCTAATTTCTTTACATTAATTACTTTAAGACTCCTAATTTAATGCATATTGGGATGTATGTTCTTAACGGATTTCAATAGTCAAACAAAGACGTTACAGCTCAAATTATTTCTGCTAGCATTGCCGGTGATTTGGTCCTCGCTTCAGCTTATTCTCATGAGCTTCCCCGTTATGGGCTTGAAGTTGGTCTCACCAACTATGCTGCAGGTTTGTTTTTAACCCTTTCACCATTTTATTCCTTGTATGTTTTCATTTTGAATTTTCCCCTTAACCTATCTAGTGTTTGAACAATTTTTTATAATTGCATAGCATACTGCACTGGACTTCTCTTGGCTCGACGTGTCTTGAAAATGCTTGAGATGGATGAAGAATACGAGGGCAATGTTGAGGTATCTTGAATCTTAACCATTTCCGTTATCTCTATATCTATCGTATTTTCAATGCGCTTAACATGCCATGACCTTGCATTCATAGGCTACTGGTGAAGATTACTCAGTTGAGCCAGCAGATACAAGAAGGCCATTCCGTGCTCTCCTTGATGTTGGTCTTCTCAAAACCACAACTGGAAATCGTGTTTTTGGTGCTCTTAAGGTACCTAGCGACCGCGTATTCAACTTCTAGTTCATCAGTTAGCTGATATTATTATCATCTCTTAAATACATTAAGATTTTTTTTTTCACCAATGCTTTCTTAAAATGTTGAATTCATGCTGTGTTGATAGAGTTGGCATTTCAAGTATGATCTTATTTCAAGGACAACTGGTTCTCATTGTTATTTAATATCGTTATATTCTACATTTGCGTGTGGTTCCAATACGTTGGAACTAATATTTACTGTCTTATTACCAGTCTATTGAACATCTTCTGGGTTTAGAACCATTTTGTTGCGCTCTACTTTTTCTGTCTATTGTAGTTCTATGCCCGAGTAAAATTGATTAGAAGTGGTTCTCATCTTGTGATTGTTTGTCTGTGAATTTGTTGTTTGTAAAGGCTTGCAAAGTATCTCAATTTGTTAAACGCAGGGTGCTTTGGATGGTGGATTGGACATTCCTCACAGCGAAAAGAGGTTTGCTGGTTTTTCCAAGGATGGTAAGCAGCTTGATGCTGAAGTTCATCGGAAGTACATTTTTGGTGGCCACGTTGCTGCATACATGAGGGTATACCTTTATCTGTAAGATGGTTGTTATTTCATTCTTTAAAAAAGTTATCAACAATGTTTGATTTTCCGTTCATATGCCTTATAGACTTTGATGGAAGATGAACCAGAGAAGTATCAATCTCACTTCAGCCAATACATCAAGAAGGGCATCGAGGCCGATAACATTGAGGGACTATACAAGAAAGTTCATGCTGCCATCCGTGCAGACCCTGTAGTCAAGAAATCTGACAAGCCACAACCCAAGGCACACAAGAGGTAGAAATGGCGCTCGGGTCCTTGGAAATCGGTTGAAATTGTTCCTAAG